GGTTTTCTTCGGATGTGCTAAAAGAAAATAAAGTACTCTAGGTTAATGTAAATTGGTAGTTGACTCGAGGACGAGTAACGTTTAAGTGTGTGTGTGGGGGGGGGGGGGGGGTGATGTTCAGCCAAATGCTATACTTTTAGTACATTACTCGCCCTATATCTTGTTGGTTTAATGATTAACTATTCGATATTTGAGCTAAATTGTGTTGTTTTATGTGTAGGAGTATCTAAATAAAGAGTCGAATGAAAGTTGCACAAAAATAAGACGAAAATGCAAGAAAAGAGCACAAAATTACCAAGTACCCAAGTCGTGCTACAGGCCAAGCATAGCCAGGTCTATAGCCTGCTTTACCGTGCTATAGACCAAGTATAGACAGCTTGACCGCGCTATAGGCCAGGCGTATCCAGCTCTGTAGTCAGGCTGACCACGCTATAAGCCTAGGCTCGCGAGGTCTATAGCCCGGTGATTACAAGTTGCGAGTTAAAAGATTCCAACCCGGATTTGGACTGAGGAATTTTGGCCCTAACATATAAATACTCTCCAAACGAGTTGAGTAAATGTTGGGCACTATTTTGGAGAAGAAAAAGGCGATAGGGCACTGTGGAGCAAGAAAAAAATTGAGTTTTCCTTTCGTTTATCTCTTTACTTTGTAGTTTAATGTCTTTAAACATCATGATGATTGTTGATACATTTATGAGTAGCTAAACTCTCTCATCTAGGGTTTGATGGAATCTATTGAAGGATGATTTTTCACTATATTTAATAAATTTGTCATTGATCTTTCTCTACTTGTTCAACTATATTTTCGTTGTTGTTGATTGAAGAGCTCTCAATTAATTGTGCCTATTTAGTGTGTATATTGCTCGAGAGAGAGTACACATTTAGGTAGTTGTTGAACAACACCACTCCTAATATATTTGAGAGATCAATACGAAGGGTTTAAAGGCGGGATTAGATATAACAAAACCTTGTTGCGATCGTAGTGAGCGGTGAATTAGTGCCAGCTAGCGTAGTTCAATAGAATACGTCTAGTAAATTATGGTAGTTGCTCGAGAGAGAGCTACATCACCCAAAGTACTCATGATAGGTAGAGAATACTTAGGCGAATTTACAGGAAACGTGGCGGGGAAGATTCCGACAATAGGGGAAGTCATAACCCTAGACTTTTCCAAATCTTGTCCACAATATTTTCTCTGTTAGTTATAAATTACTGCATTTTAATTACTTTGGTCTTAGTTAGTAAACATTCAAATCGTTATTGAATATTTCTGAAGGTTGATTACTTGAATTCGTGCGAAACTAGTGGTTGTAATTAGTAGGTTAATTCCCTGTGGAATTCGATTCTGGGCTTGTAAACCAGATTATATTTTGCAGCGACCGCTTAGTCCTTTTTATAAAGCATAGTTGGGCGTGACATAACCAATCAGAAGATATATCTTAATTAACATCATGACTATGGTTGCCACAGCAACAATAAAGTTGTCTCTGTGAGACCTATAGGTCACAGATTCAAGTCGTGGAAACAGTCACTAATACTTGCATTAGGGTATGGCATCTACATCATACTCCTTGAGTGTGGCCCTTTCTATACTTTGTGCATCGAGCTTCTTTTTAACTATGGTGGCTAGAAACTAAGCTCCATCCCGTAGGGCTGAAAGTTATAAAACAATAGTAAAATCATGTGTTTGAACAAAACAAATCAAATTAATTTTGGAGTCACGAAATGTAGTGAACATATACGTGACCTAATTTTAGTTAAGTGATTAAAATTTATATGAAAAATACATATCTTTATGTCACGACCCGAATTTTTCACCGTCGGGACCGTGATGGCGGCTAACATCACATTTGCTAGGCAATCCAACGTTAGAAGTTATTTAGCCATTTCTTTCCAGTTTAGAAATCATCAGTAAACAGGCAATATGAATCGAATTAAATGTAAGATGCGTAGATATCAGTTCCCTTTACATAATACTCCTACCCAGAGATCCGGTGTCACAATTCACGAGCATACTATGATTTTCTACAGACATCAGTCTGAAAGAAATTACAACTATTTTTGAAATAAAGAAAACAGTAATATAGAGATGTAGAAGGGGTCGCCAGGGCCTGCGGACGCCATCAGGACTACCTTGGGTCTCCCAGTTGAAAATATCTGCAACCGACCTCTCGATCAACCACTACCTGCTCCAAAATCTGCACAGAAAGTGCAGAGTGCAGTATCAGTACAACCGACCCCATGTACTGGTAAGTGGAGAGCCTAACCTCGACGAGGTAGTGACGAGACTATGGCGGGGCAATTACAACATAACCTGCATACAGTGTGTAATAAAAGCAGAAAGAAGAACAGGACAAATAAAGCAGTAACTTGCAAGGAATGATTGCAGAACACGAGTGTCTTATCAGTATCCAACTATAACCAATCCTTAAGTGAAATGCAAAGCTACCGAATAACTTAGACAGAAGAAGAAAGATACATAAATACATAAACTGATGCGGCGCGCATTTCGATGCCACCATATATCAATATCAATATGAATATTCACCCTTATTACTCCATATCAATCCACCCTTATTACTCCTGTTATGCCGTGCAACCCGATCCCACCGTACAATAGCATCTCACCCTTATTCCTCCTCAATATTTCACCCTTATTCCTCCTATTGCGGCGTGCAACCTCATCCCACCGTATAATAGCAATTCACCCTTATCCCTCCTTAATATATCACCCTTATTCCTCATGTTGCAACGCGCAACCCGATCCCACCATATCAGCATAAATTACTCAATAAGTACAGAAATTTCACAATTTAACTCAAACTCTTCGCAATATTAAAACCTCAAACCAAAGCAAACGGAAAGCTTGTACATTATGAAACTTCACACAAATAATACTACTCAGCGAAACCAATCCAAATATGCCATAAAATACCGATAAACCAGCTTAAACCAATAATATGAGACAAGGAAACTACGGGATAGCTAATACCTTCAATAATGAAAAATAATGTCTGACAAATAGCAATTAAACATGGAAATACCAGTAAAGCGTGTAGCAGTTAAGGCAGGGGAGACAATATCATAAGGACGGGAAGAAAATATGCAAAACAGATAAATTGGTGGCGCATCGGTACTCGTCACTTCACCTATACGTCACTCACATGTATTTTCACATAGCAATTAAGTCAAGGATTCCTAATCCCTCGAGTCAAAGTTAGACACAACACTTACCTCGACCCACAGGCCACTCATTGCTCAATCACAGCTTTTCCCTTCACACAAGCCTCCGGACCAATAGAATCTAGCAAATTACCAACCAAACGATTCAATTTAAGCCTTAGGAACTACCCACGATAGCAAGGAATTCAATTTAGGCCATTTTTTAAAAAAGTCAACACCTGAGCCCGCTTGGTCCAAACCTGAAATTCGGACCAAAACTCGATTACCCATTCACCCCCCGAGCCTGGATATACAATTGATTTTGGAATCCAACCTCAATTTGAGGTCTAAATCCTCAAATTTTGAAATCCCTAGTTTCCCAAAATCCCCAAATTCCACCATGAAAATCTTAGATTCTAGGTTGAAATCTTGTAAAATGAAGTGAAAGATTGAAAGAAACTAGTTTAGAATCACTTACCTATGATTTGGGGAAGCAATGGTCTTTGGAAAATCGCCTCTTGTGGTTTAGGTTCTGAAAATTTGGGAAATGAATCAAAAATCCCGTCTAAGTCCCTTTTTACACAGCTGCAGATGTCGCATTTGCGACCTGAGCTTCGCAATTGCGAGATAGGTATCGCAAATTCGAACTTCCCACACTTTTGCTGCCTTCGCAAATGCAAACAATTTGTTCGCATTTACGAACATGAACCATCGCAATTGCGATAGAAACCTCGCAAATGCGAGAAATCCCAATCCCAGCCCATGCTCGCAATTGCGATGCGTCTTCGCAATTGCGAGGCTCGCATTTGCGATCCAGACCTCGCAATTGCGAAGTTTGCAGACCTGAAGCACACCAGCAAGAATTTCTAAGTTCAATTCACTCTGTGGCGTATCCGAAACTCACCCGAGCCCTCGGGGCTCCAAACCAAACATGCACACAAGTATTAAAACATCATACGAACTTGCTCGTGCAATCAAATCGCCAAATAACACCTAGAACTACGAATTTAGCACCAAATCACATGGAATTCTTAAGAATACTATGAAATTCCTATTTTCACAACCGCACGTCCGAATCACGTCAAATCAGTTCCGTTTCTCACCAAATTTCACAGATAAGGTGTAAATATTATTTTGGACCTGTACCGGACTCCGGAACCAAAATACGGGCCCGATACCAACAAGATCAAACATTAACCAAATTCTTAAAACCATTTAATTTTCAGTCTTTCAATTTTTATCAGAAATTCATTTCTCGAGTTAGGGACCTTGGGATTCGATTCCGGGCATACGCCCAGGTCCTATATTTCGATACGGACCCACCGGGACTGTCAAAAAATACGAGTCCGGGTCCGTTTACCCAAAACGTTGACCGAAGTCAACTAAATCAACTTTTAAAGGCAAAAATTATTATTTTTCTCAACTTTCAACATAAAAACTTTCTGGAAACACGCCCGGACTGCACAGGCAAATTGAGAAGGAATAAAATAAGGTTTTGAAAGTCTCGGAACATATAATCGAGTTCTAAAACATAAGATGACCTTTTGGGTCATCACACTTCATTAGTTTAATAGTAACAGTTGTGTGTGAATAAACTACCAAAATAATGTCTCTCACATCTTGCCCTTGATTCTTTTTTTCTGTTAACAAATGATATTTAGAATCCTTTTTTTTTTTTTTGGTGAAAATTCCTCTGTATAAAAGATGTACATACATGTGCGAGTAAGTTTTTGACTATTAATTTCGTACAACTAAATGGCAAACAAAAAAAACGTGAATAAGCTAAAATAGGAGTAATAAAAGTATTGTCAAAATAATGTTCTCAATAATGAAATGAATTTATTAAACCGAAATATATACTCTTTTTCTTTTCACAAATATAAACTCCTCAAAAGAGAGGGGAGGTGGAATTGTGGAAATCAGTGTTTGAGAGACAAAAGAGAAATTGTTCGAGAGCAAAGAGCAAAGATGTTGAAATTCTTGTCAAAGGTGAAAATCGAATTCAATGCCTTAGACCCAAGAATAGCTTCATGTATGGAGTTTTTGGCTCAATGTAATGCTCCTAAAGCCAAAGAATCAAACCCAAGTTGTCAGGTTCAAGTCAAGCGCCGCACCGATGACCACCCACCCCAAATCACCGTCACCTTCGTCAATGGAGTCGAGCAAAGCTATGATGCCACTTCTACTCCCGCGCAGAACATCCGTACTATGATTCTTGAAAAGGGTCAGTATCTTGAGACTGAACAAATGTTTCGTGAAGCTGGTGAGAAATGGCCTGTTGTTATTCCTGATGAAGAGCTTCAACAACCATTTCTCGGAATAAAGGTTGGTGCTTTCCCCTTTTTTTGTTGATGCTTAGTGGTTTTTGTTATGATTTGGTTGAGGCATATCGTCGAACGGATTGAGTGTGTAGCTTTTAGACCTGCTTAAGCTTATTTTTTGCTGAGAAAAAACAGATTTTTATAAGAGAATTTGCTGGTTTGTTATATATACAGTATGATTTTTGGAAGGTTGTTAGAGTTCATTTGCTATCCTATGAAGGCATATCAAAATTGGATGGAAAAGTGAGAATTTTCCTGTAATGTTAGAGGTGTTTGCACTCAGGATTTTGTTACTATGTAGTGGCAAAAAAAATATTTTGAAATTCGGAGAACTTTATCAAAAATTCCAATTTTCTGTAATTGTCCCCTGATTGATTTCTTGTTTTAATCCACTTTTTTCTTATCTGCTGGGACATATTTTAAGGTTTGTAGCTTCCTTTTTCTGATGTCTAACTGATAGTAGTATGCATCAGAATCAACCAGACCAGAAAACTAACATCATTGATTCTAGTTTGCACAAGCTTGAGCAGAATGAAGACGTCCTCTTGTACTAGTTAGTCGAGATTAGGTTACCTAATTGATTAAAGTGTATAGAACACAACCTTACAATCACTGGCATAATAAAAAGTAGACCAATGATAGCAGGTTGATATTCTTTATAACATTTTCATTCTCCTTGATATCAAAAGCTTTGACCTGGCATTTTGTTTCCCAGCTCTAATTTATGCCAACATGTGTGGTTTTGTGTGTGTTCGTGTGTGACTGAGTTGTAAAAGTGCTGAGCTAAAGGGTTTCTATGTCCCGTAGCTCTTTTTACAGGTAATGTGGTAGTTTTAAGGAGCTTTCAGGATTTAATCCAGAGCCTTGGAAAATTATGTTTAAAATCAAATTATAAAGGACTCCTAGTAGTTTTCTGATTTAAGACAATCATTCATAAGAGCAAATATTTATATCTACGTACTGATTTTGTTACCATTAAAAGAGTTACTCTTGTTAATATGCTCCAAGATCAGTTGCTAGTTACTAGTCTAGGAAGCTCGGTTACCTATAAGTTCTTGTAGGAACAGCTAAAATGTGTGATGCGGATTTTAATTATGAGCCTGTCATGATCACAGGGTTAAGGAGTGAGTGCGCAAATATAAAAGCTGTGACATCTTGACAGGATATGAATGGTGAGGCGAATTGTGGAGTGTTAAGCTTCAAGAGTTACTAGGCACCCATACTTGCGTTTCCTAAGAAGTTCTTGCCGAGCTTCACTAAGTCGACTTATTGGTGTGTGCTGTTTTAGGGTCTCTTCTTCTTTTTGATCTTGTCCTCTTCGTGTCTTGTTCTCCTCTGTTCTGCTTGTCCTCCAGCATGCGAGTACTTTTTATGAATATGAAAGAGATTTGGAAACTGGAAGTACATGCATTTCATTTTAGGAGAGATGCGAGTACTTTTTATGAATATGAAAGAGATTTTGACACTGGAAGTACATGCATTTCATTTTAGGAGAGATTAAATCTTAAGCGCTATCCTTTTACTTTGTAGGGGAAAGATTACACCTTCTAACTTTCTAAGAAGATCATATCTAGCATATATAATGTTCTACTCCCCAAAATGGTGAAACTTTTTGTAATCGCGTACGTTAAGTTTTGAAACTGGTACCTACTTTAGGGGTGGGGAGAGGGAGGGAAGTAAGTTAAATGTTTTTGCTAGCGAATTGTTCCTGCAAAGAGTTTGTCTTTCTGAGAACTTATTATTCCTAATTATTTATATGGTTGTTTTTCTAACTTCATTTATTTGCAAATTTTCAGCCAAAGAAAGCAGAAGAGAAGAAGCAGTAATCACAGCTACTCACGCCTAGCTTGTCGTTGGGGCATTTTATCAGCGTTAGCTCAGCTCGATGACATTACAGAGTTCTAATTCAGTGAGATGGATCTCCAAATAGGGGCAAAGCTAGCTTTTCTCGTTGGACGTATGTTAACAATAATATTAGATTTGCACCAGATCATGAACTGAACTTGCTGTCCATTGTGTTGTGAGACTCAGAAATGTCTTTACAATCCTCATTTCTTCTACCCTTTGCCCTTCGAAAGAATAATATTTCCTTTCTAAAGATTTGATTTCATGTTGGAATTGACTATAATATGTGCATTCAAGGGCCATCTTTAAGTTTTACCACACAGAGTTAACATTTAGTAGCTCTGTTGCCAAGTGCTAGTCTGTTTTATAGCATAATAAGTTGCGCATTTTCTTTTAGATGTTTACTACCCGACCAAATATTAGTCGTTTTGGCAAACTAAACTTGTTTCAAATATTTTATATTTTTGAAAAATAGGAAGTCATTTAGTACTTTTTTCCCCTATTAGTGAGTATCAATTAAGTGAGAAGGAGAGAAATTGTATTAGACAAAATACTCTTATGGCTAAAACTATTAAATGTCTTTCACTTTAAGTCCCTACACATTGTATTATCATATAAACTCAAAATTGGTACTACATTCTCTTTGGTAGTACTGATAAAGAAGAAACAATACATGTACATTAGTTTCAAGATATTATATCTTGGTCTAGTACCTTTTCCCTAGATGTTTACTAGTACCTTTGGTCTCTCCATTATTGGTAGACTAGATTCGTTTCAAGATATTGTATCTTAGAAAAACAAGAAGTCGTTTACTCCATATTGTTCCAACTAGATCAAGTGAGGAGGAGATCCGAACGATAATTTAGACAAATACTCTGATATACTACTTACTATATACTATGTCTCTGTCTGAATAGAGCCATACATAAAACTTTCTACACAAAATGAAATAGCAATAAAATTTTATGTTTGATTATTTCTACATATACATTATGATATAGGTTCTGGATAATGTGAAAATCTCTTCTACTGAAGAATTCGTTCATCTTTCTTCGCGACGAACTCTGTTGGGGTCAGAAACCATATCCATCATCATTTTCTCAGGTGAATCTTCCCAATTTCCAAATGAATTCAAGTCAACCTGCAGATAGATATTGAAAATACAGAAACTATTTTTATCATGCTACTCAAAACGCGATGAAACAATGAATAATGTCCAAACTGTATGTTAATTACCTTTCGTCTTTGGTTAGTAAAGAGTTCCTCCCTCTTCTTGTACGATGATTGCACGTCTCTTGCTCTTTTACCTCCCAATCCCCAAACCTCCACATCAAAAATTGAAGCTTCGACGGGTAAAAACCCCTGCTCGAAGGCAGTAGGATGAGAGGGAAATTCAAAAGAGAAAAATCAGACACTTCTAAAGAACATTACTTAGCATTCGAAATATTAGCACAAACAGCTTTCTGAGAGCTATTGCTAGTAAAGTCACGTGCACATTAAACGAATGCATGTCAAATGAATGAGTGCAGTTGTTGATTTGTGTCGCAGAATCCAAGCTAACTATCTAAATATGTTGTATTTGTACGTATCAATCAATCAATCAATCAACTGCCAAGCTGCAGCAACTTCATTTTTTGTTATGAAGAAATCCCTTGTGGACTTCTAACCTGACTCCAGTTGGCGCACGCGTATAGGTCCGACCCTCTACCCTCTCCCAACTTAAATACCGAATTTTGTCCGCGGCGGATTCAAATCCGTGACATATGCCTAACCTACACTTCACGTGTTGCTTCCTTACAATTGAAACCAAAACCCTGGGGCCACGCGCCACGGAGCAACTTCTTCTTTCTGGTCAAGTATTAAAGCATGGGACTTCCTTTTGATGGTGGACCGAGGATTTTAAAGGTCGTGGATGCTGGCCTTCCTTCAGCGAAAAGTTGCTATCAATCATCACAATAAGTGCACAACTATTTGAACACAAAAGCAAGAGAAGTGAAAGAAAATATCCCTATGGAAGCTCTAAGCCAAAATTTCTCAAGAAATACGAGAGGAAATAGAGGTGAAGGAAGATTATCTCTACTGAACAGCAGCACGGTGAAAGGAAAGGCAAACAGCTACGAAGTGAGAATTCCTGTGTTGCTCAGTTGCTGCTTTTTTGGTTTGGAAAGATAAGAGTTTAAAGCTGATTTGTTTTCTCTCTTTGCCACAATAAAATAGACAAAAAACGAAAATGGAAAAGTCGGCGAGAATAAGTAAGACAACAGAATCCCAAGTTCTGAGAAAAGGTTACTCTACCTGGGGATCCAGCTATTGCACATCGCTAAACTCGCGCGTCACAGCAGGGTCCAGACCAATGCACCCATTCAACAGTTTGTACAATGGGTGCTACTAATTAAATATATACCTCTATAAAAAAAGTTTCTATGTGAATATATATAGCTTGCGTCGGGGTCGATGGGTTCTCGAGCACCAAACATGTACGCGCCTACTTTGACTAACAGAGGCAGGAAAGAAGACTAACATTATGCAGAGACTACAGAACAATATACTATCCAGGTCCATCTATACCATGCGATTTCTAGCAACTCAAAGTGTTTTCACACCTCCGTCACATATATGCATCTAAAAGACTCCACTAGCTAACCTGGTCGGGAAAAAGAGGAGCATGTTGGTAAGTTTTGTCACAAGCATGATGACGAACTGTAACTCTAGCAAAATCTTCATCAATAAATATTCTTTCATTGCCAGAGGATCCTCCAAAAGCAAGTCCGACAGGCTTTGGATGAGCTTCATATTTAACGGTTGCATGCAAGTGGCTGTAAACAAAGTTTTTCTCCCTTCCTGCCAAAGAACAAATACTAGCTTTATTGCATATCATTAAAAATGTTTCTTTTCATTTAGAAACACTCTGAGCAGGTGAGACCAGAAACGCTACCTGAAGGTGTTAACACCTGAAAAACTGGACTAATGGAGTACAAATTGCCAGATGACCCATAGAAAGTATCTTGATTTTCTAAACCCTGATGAATGAGAGCACCAATAATCCATCTCCTTGAATCGTTATTGACCTCATGAGCAGAGAGAAGAATTAGCAATGGACCATTATATCCTTCAACATTTGACCAAAATCTATTCAGACCTTTTCCATGAATAGAAGACCTATAGGTTGAGGGAAAATGAAAATCAACTCAAAAAGTATAGGAAGTGATAGAAGTTCCAGAAATAGCACAGAAGATAAACAAAAAATACCCAGAGCTTGACAAATAGTCGACCTAGGCCAGGTACAAACCTATAAAGTAGGTAGTCATCTACTTCCTCCGCAGTACTTGGAAAACATGCTTTTGACATCTCTTCGCTCATAGTGCTCCTCAATGTAAGTGAGATAGCCCAAGCCCTTCCACAAGTAAGGAGATTGCCAATGCTCATTTCGCTTGCAGAAATATCATGCAAGAAAAGGTCCGCTTGCTCTAGTTTTTCCTGCTATTAGTTCAACTTCGGAATTAGTAATTGCGTATTCTAATTTCTTGGTCACGGCCTAGCAAGCGTTCATATATATAATATGGCATCAAGGGGCGAAAAATTAACAATTGAAAATGTATAACAGTTTATTTTCATCTCCCATCAAAAGACAACGACACAATCAGCCAGAAGATGAAATTTCCAATTTTTGTAATAAATTCTCATTCTTCTACCAGTCTTTTTAAATCAAGGATATGGTCAAGAAGTGGACGACGTGTTTTTTTTTTTTTTTTTTTGTAATGAAGTGGACGACGTATTAGTCTTGAGAGATGACAAATATCCAAAATAACTGCAGGTTCTCTTTCTTTTCTAGCACCAAGAAAATGCCATGATGTACAAAAAGTTTCTAGACATTACTCCTTTTCAATAAAGGAGGAGTCAACAAAATCCATGACATGTCTTATTCTTTACAGCGAAAAAAAACTACAGGTTCTCCTCAAACGCAGCATGTGAGAAAATTGGATGAGGCATAACATGCATGGAAGTAATTTGTAGAACAAGGAAAAACTTACAGAACGGAAAACCACTTGCACTTGAAGTATGTTTTTCCTAGTATAATGCACATAAAAGCGAATATAGATCTCAAGACTGTGGTTCATGGATCACTTATTTTTTGTTCATTCCCTCCCGGCCAATTCAATTTCTCCCCACAAGGTTTCAGAAGTATGCGGAGATTAGATATGACAATTGTAAGCATACTCAGAAGAAACATCGAACTGACAGAGCTTAGAAATCTAACCATTTCTTCAACAAAGGAAAGCATCAAGTGCACGATACCTTTGATAAAGGAACTAATTACTCTTGTATTTCAGAATATTGTGCAGTGTTAATATTTAGTGACTGACTTCTAAGAAAGACTTGGTAAAAACACTACAACAACAACCCAGTATAATCCCGCAAGTGGGGTATGGGGAGGGTAGTGTGTACGCAGACCTTAATTTTCTTTCTTTAGGGGAATATATATATATTATGATATTTTCTCTTATCCCATAAGAATTTAATCTTGCTAAATCCAGTGGACGTATTGAAACATGCCATGTACTTTACGCTGTTTCTTAACATTTTACCATTGTATCTTTATGATATTAAAGATCACCAACAGAAAATGCATCCATGCAATTCAAAATTGAAAAGGAAAGTACCTCATGGGCAGCTATGTAACAAATTCTCGCATGGATGAATTGTCCAAAGCAGTCCGCAAGGCTTGGTAATGTCTTCAAAGCCCACAGTACAATCTTTGCAACAGGAAGTTGCATATCCAAGTCTAAAATGTTGTTCTCCCATAAATCCAATTTGTTATCAGCTTCAGTGCAAGAGTCTATAGCTGACAACACCAAATGTGTAACATCTGGAAGACCGGAATCCCCTAAATTACCAGAAGCCTTCAACTTCTTCGAATCCCACCACATAACCCAGCACATCCAAAGAAGCGTCTGCACATCAACAGGCGATAAAAATCCACTAATCTTACTATCATCCTCATCAGAAACAACCTGCAGTTTTTCCGGAAGACCTGCCTTGACACACGTCATCCCAAATAATCTTAACAAATTATTGAGTGAAGCTGAACTAACTGCCCGTCCAGAACATTTTGTATAGCCTTTTAGGAACTCAACCCAACTAACACCTCCTTTTTCAGACAAGAAAAACAAGTCAACTATTGAAGAACTCAAATGACTCAACAAAACTGGAATTTCCTTCGGCACTGTCGATTCTTCACTTGTTGATCCCCCAAAGGAGAACCCAAAACATTTCTGTAACCAAAACACACAAATTAATCAGAATAGAGCACAAAATGAAAGGGGAAAACAGAAAATTCAAGAAAGTTCTAACTTTTCTACAAACTCATTTCTGGGTGATGCAAAAAAAGAGGTTCTCTCAAATGTAAATTCATACTACAACATCAACTACTACTATGCCTCCATCCAGGGGCGTATGTAGAGAGTAATACATGGGTTCATCCCAACCCAGTAGATTTGGCTCAGACCTTGTATATGTGTTAAAAAATTTACTAAATAAGTACAAATAACTTATTTTGTAGCCAGCAAATCAAATGCGTTGTTGTAGAACCCAAAACACAAATCCATAAAAGTTCAGATCATGAATCTCCCTCTGCCTATATGAACTCTCGCTCAACTCGTAGTCCAAGAATACACAAAAAAAATACATAGTAAAAGGCACTGTCCTCTATATTTTCTACATGTATATAAATCTACTACCAGAATAAAACACACCTAAAAAACATTACTCCCTCTGTCCCAATTTATGTGGCACCGTTTGAATTTCGAGAGTCCTACGAGTTTTTATTTGAGCGCGATTTTTCATATGCCTTTTAAATATTTTGAATTGTTAATTATTGTGACTTATAGTACTTTTTACGTAATTTTCAAATATGTAAATTTTACTTCAGAATATTGAAGGATTCTATGTCTGAATTCACTATCAAAATTAAGAAATTAGACTCTCGAAATCTGAACAGTGCCACATAAATTGGGATGGAGGGAGTAGTACAATAACAACTACTACCATTGGAATTCCCTCCATTCAAGCTCATCTCGATCCAATATTCTATCAAAGAAATTAAAATGCACTAGAAGTTCTTCTGTATCATTATAAATCTACACGCGGGCTAAATGACTCCTAAAGAAACATTGAATTGAAACTAAATAAAGTCTCTAACTTTTTCTATAAAGAGAGTCTTTCAAATGTAAAATTTCATAGTACAGCTCCAAAAGAACAACTACTCCATTAAAGAACGAAACGGGAAATCCAGAAATTCCCAAAAAAAATCCAATTTTTGCTAAAACCCCACTTATGGGTAAATACAAAAAGGTCACCAAAATGCAAATTGAGCACATATTTACATAAAAGCTTAAGCATTTGCGAGTAAAAAAAAAAGAAAAAAGAATTTACCTGAAGAGAAGGGAGGGGGATGGAGTGAGTTTGAGGATCAGAAAGAAGAGAGAAAGCTTTTTGTAGAGAAGGAAGAGCTCCAGTTGAAGCTGCCAAAGATTCTGCCTCTCTTTGCTCCGGCGACACTTGCTCCGCCGATGAAGATTGCCCCATTCCGATAGCCGTTTGCCGTTTGTCGTCGGTGGAAGTTAATACTCCCAAGTTGTACAGAAATGACACGTCCTACTCATGAGATTATATACATTTCGATATATTGGCTTTTTAAGCCAGCGAAAAGCCATATTGAATTATTGTGGAATATTATTCAAAAGTAACATCATCTTAACTTTATAACTTGCTAGATATTTTAAATTGATAAGAAGATCTTTAGATAGCTGAGGCTTGTTGCTACGTGTCATGGACAACTCAAAAGGAGGATTATACACGACAGACCAAAACTTTGTACGATTAAAAACAGTAAAAATTAACCAATTATACGAAACCAATAGAATAATGACTTGTGTTTACACATAGTGATATTACTTCGTCGTGGTTAAGTAATGGATGTTTTTAATTTATTAAATCACTTAATCATGATAAGTGTATTGGATTAAATTTGGCAACTTGGTAACAGTAGATAAACGGGATCAAGGATGGGGTCGACCGCGGCGTAATAGCGGGATGCCGTTCTCGAGAGGGCTGTTGTCAAGGACGAGCAGCTGAAGTGAAGAAATAATGGTAGAATAGGTTCAGATAGAGACACAAGGAAAATTCCTTTGGATATTTCTTGTTTTGTACTTTTTAGGTTTTTTTTTGGAAATATCCCTTATAAATAGGAAAGAATAGAGAACAAAAGGGGCTCTCTGGACTTTCTGGGAAAAACACATTGTAAAAGGCTGACTTGAGAGAATATACAAAAGTTGTCTTGTTCATTGATTATCTTATCCAAGCACACGTTACTTAGTTTTTGTTCACAAGATCCAAAGATTCCATAATCATCTTCACTTCTCTTCTTTCTATGTTGCTGTCAGGGGATGAATCATCCAAGTCATAAAATAATTGGGTGATAGATCCTTTCTTACCGCTTTCATTGACATTATCACATTTATTGCATATTTATATTATCGCATTTATGAGCATTCATTGAATATAAACGTGCTTATTAACGTTGTTCATCTTACCGAATTCACATAATATTTGGTCTAGAATTTATTATTTTTAGCTAATATTCATCCTTCATCTCATCATTAATTGGTTTAACTAAAAAGTTCAACACGTTTTGGTCAAACAATTTGGCGCCGTCTAGGGGGAGTTTTTAGCTAAAATTTCTTCTAGATCATAAAAAAGGAGACAACCATCTTGTCCTTGTTTGCACAAACTAACAATGGCAAGGAAAGGAGACGAAAGACAGAAAGCAATAATGGGTGTCACTACCAACATCTTAAACACCATCAACGAGGATGACGGAGGAGACAATGAGAATGTAACACCAAATGCTACACCCAGGCAGAGTTATTCACCTCCCCCTCTTGCAAGTGTAACCGCTTCGCGCGAAAAGGGAGCTTCTACATCCATAGTTGAGGAAGCACCACCAGCAGTGAAAAAATTATTGGAGGAGTGGCTGACAAGTACCATAAATGACATACTCGACAAACCCGTTCAAAGGGTTAATAGAGATGTCGCGCCAGCAGATGTCACAACGACTACCGATGAATGACTCGCTCCCCTAACAGGTAACACTCACACCGATGTTGATGCAGGTAACGACGCACTCACGACCATCCTAAAGAAAATGGAAGAAATGGAAAACGAGAACAAAGAGCTCCGCGACCAGATGAGGGAACATCAAGAAAGGGTCGATAAAATACCAGGCGCCCCAAAACTGCTACCGAATCGAGATGTCGGCCGATTCGTCGAACAACCATACGGCGAGGAGGCAGCCCCGCATACCATACCCAAAACCTTCAAAATGCCGCCATATTTGAAGATATATGACAGCACGACGGATCCCGAAGACCACATCATTCACTACGTCACAACAATAAAAGGCAACGGCCTATCAAAGGAATAAGTACTGTCAGTGCTACTAAAAAAGTTTGGCGAAACCTTAACCGGAGGAGCCTTAACTTGGTACTCACAATTACCAGCACGGTCTATAACAACGTTCGAGGAAATGGCCGACAAGTTCGCCACCGCCCTCGCCAGAGCTAAGAAAGCGAAAACTAGAGTAAATGATATATTCGCCGTTAGGCAGTCGCCTGGCGAGGGACACAGGGACTTTTTAGCCCGGTTTAACAGGGTAAGAATGAGCTTACCAAATGTATCAGAAGGAATGGCGGTAGCAGCTTTCCAGAACGAGTTGAACAGGAACGGATCAAGAGCGACAAGAAAACTATTAAACAGACTCATGAAATACCCCCCACCACTTGGGAAGAAATTCACAACGCCTACTGCGCCAAGGTGAGGGCGGACAAAGACGATCTCAACGATCCGATACAACGGTTAACTTCGGTTCAAACAGAGCCGAGGAAAGACTGTCGTAGTGACAGTCGAAGAGATCAGTCAGGGCCCCGCTTCAACCGAGACAGGCACCAACCTTATGTTAGAACAGTCGTCCCACCATCTCCTCGCCATGTGGAAGGACCATCCAGGCCGCATACAGGGACTCAACGGAACGAAAAAGGTATGCCTCCGCTCTAATCTGCTCACAATTTTTGTGTTTCTCCTTCAGATAGTGTACGCACTAGAGAAGTTTGGCCCGAAGGTGAAGTGGCCGCAAAAGATAAAATCCGACCCAAGTACCCGAAAGTCGAATATCCTCTGTGAATTTCATCAGGAGCGAGGTCACAGAATTAAGGACTGCATAGCCCTACGACAAGAGGTGGTGAACATGCTCCACCAAGGGCACCTAAAGGAATTGATGAGCGACCGAGGAAGAGCCAATTTTGGCCGCGGAAGAGAATAACACCAAGGCCCACCAAAGCCGCCCTCTCCTGCCCGCACCATTCAAATGATCATCAGTGGGGGCGATGAAGCAACAATCAACCACATAAAGTTTACCACCACGCACAAGCTAAAGCGGTCAATCACCCACGAGCGGTATGACGACCTCGGAGAAAGTATCATCTTCGATAAGTCAGATACCAACGGTTTGATCTTTCCTCACTTCGATGCTCTTGTCATTACTTTACGTATTTCAGATACCGATGATAAAAGAATAATGGTAGACGACGGAAGCGGCGCGTGTATTATTCACCCTCGAGTTCTTGCACAAATGCGACTCGAGGACAAGATAGTACCATGCTGTATAACACTAACAGGTTTTAACAATGCAGTCGAACGAACCTCAGGAGAAATAACACTGCCCATTCTGGCCGGAGGCATCACCCTGGAAACAACGTTCCATGTCATGAACCTGGACACAGCTTACAATGCAATCATAGGATGACCATGGATACCCCCTATGAAGGTTATCCCGTCCAGTTTGTATCAAGTAATCAAATTCCCTACCCCGTGGGGGATATTTAGCATCCGAGGCGAACAACGCACAACCCAAGAATGTTACCGCATCGCCCAAGATTGCACATTCACTCAACAGCTGAAAGGAACAAACTCAGAAGCATAGCAATTATTAAAGTCGGGGTCCGAACTCAACGATCAGAAAGACGTTATCAAGGACCCCGACGTCGTGGAAGCCGCGAGATCAACAATAGAAGATCTCGATCCCATCCAACTAGATAGCATCAACAGTAACAAAAAGGCTTACATAGGCCATAAGCTCTCCGAGCCAGGTCAATTTCATGAGTTTTTAATCAATAATGTCGATCTGTTTGCTTTTTCCCACGCAGATATGCCAGGTATAACGTTGCCACACACAAGTTGAACGTCGATCCTTTCTACCCCCCCCCCCCCCCAGTACGACAAGTAAGAAGAAAATTCAATATCGCAATCAACGAGGCCGTCAGCGAAGATGTGGATAAACTACTCGCTAATGGCTCCATCCGAGAATCGAAATATCCTTAATGGGTCGCCAATGTAGTTGTGGTAAAAAAGAAAAGGGGGAAATGGCGGATGTGCGTGGATTTCGCATACCTAAACAAAGCCTGCCCGAAAGACTCCTTTCCCCTACCTCATATCGATCAACTCATTGACGCAACGACAGGACACGAGTTGTTGAGTTTCTTGGACGCCTACTCAGGTTACAACCAAATCCTCATGGAGGAAGAGGACCAGGAAAAGACTACTTTCATCACTCATCAAGGAAGGTACTGTTATCGAGTCATGCCAATTGTCTTAAAGAACGCGGGGGCAACTTATCAAAGATTGGTAACCAAAATGTTCAAGGACCAGCTCGGCAAAACTATGGAAGTTTACATAGACGGCATGTTGGTCAAATCGAAAAGGAAGGAAGATCACATCGACCCCCTGAAAGAAGCCATCGAAATACTAAGGAAATACGGTATGAAGCTGAACCCCAAAAAATGTGCCTTCGGCGTAACTTCAGGAAAGTTCCTCGGGTTCTTGGTGTCACAGAGAGGCATCGAGGTCAACCCCGACCAATCAAGGCCATTGAGGGAATACCAGAAGTGTTAACCAGCAAGAAACAAGTGCAAAAACTAACGGGTCGGATAGCTGCCCTGCCAAGGTTCATCCCGCGATCTTCCGACAGATGCCACAAATTCTTTAACGTGCTCAAAAAGGACAACGGGCTCCAATAGAATGCAGAATGCATCGAGGCCTTGAGAGAACTAAAGGCATACTTGTCATCTCCCCCGCTACTCGCCAAAGCAGAACCCGATGAACGCCTCCTCATATACTTGGCCGTATCAGAGGTCGCGGTAAGCACAGTATTGATCCGCGAAGATAAAGGTACGCAATATCCGATCTATTATATTAGCAAAACTCTCGTCGACGCCGAAACGAGGTACCCTCACCTCGAGAAATTGGCCTTGGCATTGGTCATAGCTTCACAAAAGCTTAGACCCTGTTTTCAATGCCACCCAATATCGGTGGTAACGACCTTTCCTCTACGAGGTATCCTGCATATACCCGAGCTGTCAGGGAGATTGGCCAAATGGGCCATAGAATTGAGCGAGCATGATATAACGTATCAGTCGTGAACAGCGATAAAATCGCAAGTACTCGCCGATTTCAGCGCCAAAATAATAACCGAGGTCGAAAAAGAAATTTCTCGTACCTCGTCTGGTCTACCCGACCTACGGGTTCTATACATCGACGGCGCATCCAACACGTCAGGATCTGGACTAGGACTCGTACTCGAGGTCCCAACAGGCGAAGTCATTCGCCAATCCATACGGTGCCTAATCCATACGG